TCTTTTTTTACCCAAAATTCACCAAAAAAATTCAATTTTTTTTTCATTTCCTGGGGATTTTTTCCCCAAAATTCCCAAAAAAAATTCAAATTTTTATTCCATTTTTTTCCCTTTTTTTCCCCCAAAATTCACCAAAAAAATTCAAATTTTTTTCCCTTTTTTTCCCCCAAAATTCACTAAAAAAATTCAAATTTTTTCCCCTTTTTTTCCCTTTTTTTCCCCAAAAATTCACCAAAAAAATTCAAATTTTTTTTCATTTCTTGGGGATTTTTTCCCCAAAATTCACAAAAAAAATTCAAATTTTTTTTCCATTTTTTGGGGATTTTTTCCCCAAAATTCACCAAAAAAATCCAAAATTTTTTTCCATTTTTTTTCCCCTTTTTTCCCCCCAAAATTCACCAAAAAAATCCAAATTTTTTTCCATTTTTTTGGGATTTTTTCCCCCAAAATTCACCAAAAAAATTCAAATTTTTTTCCTTTTTTTCCCCCAAAATTCACCCAAAAAATTTTAAATTTTTTCCATTTCTTGGGAATTTTTTTCCCTTTTTTCCCCAAAAATTCACCAAAAAAATCCAAATTTTTTTCCTTTTTTTTTCCCTTTTTTTCCCCCAAAATTCACCAAAAAAATCCAAATTTTTTTCCATTTTTTTCCTTTTTTTCCCCCAAAATTCACCAAAAAAATTCAAATTTTTTTCCATTTTTTTCCTCTTTTTTTCCCCAAAAATTCACCAAAAAATTCCAAATTTTTTCCATTTCTTGGGAATTTTTTTCCCTTTTTTTCCCCTAAAATTCACCAAAAAAATCCAAATTTTTTTCCATTTTTTCCCCCAAAATTCCCCCCAAAAAATCCAATTTTTTCCCCTTTTTCCCCCATAAAAATCTCATTTTTCCACCGATTTTTTCACTTTTTTTTTTCCCTGAATCCTCCAAAACTGCAGAATTTTCTCCAAATTCTCCTTTTTTTCTTCTTTCCCCCCCAAATTTTACCAAACCTTGCAATCCTTTGGGAAGTTCCATGGATTTAATGATTTGTTCGCTCACGTCCGAAGCGCTCAAACCTTGGAGTCTTTTCTCCCAAAAAAGCTGCAAAAAAAAAAAAAAAAAATTCAAAATTTCGATTTTTTTTTAATTAAAAAAACCCAATTTTTTTATTATTTTTCAGGTTTTTTTTAAGCCCTAAAAAATCCTGGAATTTTTAGGATTAAATTGAATTTTTCCCATTTTTTTCCCCTTTTTTAAATCGATTTTTTCTCATTTTTTCCCCAATTTTTTCCCCAATTTTCCTCAATTTTTTCCCTTTTTTATTCTCATTTTTTTCTCTTTTTTTCTCATTTTTCCCCAAATTTTCCCAATTTTTTCCCAATTTTTTCTCATTTTTCCCCAATTTTTCCTTAATTTTTTCCCATTTTTTTCCAATTTTTCCCCCAATTTTTTCCCATTTTTTCCCCATTTTTCCCCCATTTTTTCCTCATTTTTTCCCAATTTTTCCCAACATTTTCCCAAATTTTTTTCCCATTTTTTTCCAATTTTTCTCCTTTTTTTTCTCAATTTTC